ACTGCAGTTATGGTGAAATTTTACTGTAAATACTAAAAAAAAATTAGTAAAAATTTAAAAAGCATACTCTTTTTAAACAAATAAACAAATTTTCTTTTAATTTTTCATTTTTAAGCCAGAAGTTCAATTTACAACGGGATCATAAAATATATACGATTGAAAAAGCCTTAGGATGTTTTGGACCCCCAGTGGTATTTAAGGTTTAATCTTAAATATAATATTCATATTTATACGAAATATGCGTTGAAAAATATTTTTCATAAAAATTATAGTAAATATGTACGTATCTTATTTATGATACGCATTCAAGTAATTATTATTATACGAACTAAAGGTATTTTAATCAATTTGACTAATTACAGGAGAGACATGACATTTATTTTGTTTCAAAAATTTTATGAAAAGAATGCTGCGAAAATATAAAAATTGTAATTAAATAAAATTATTATATTAATTAAAGCAGACTGGAGTGTGCTCCGCCGCCTTTACTTTGCATCGTACTGCATCCATTCTAATCAAAATTACACCATGTTATGCATTTTTAATCAAATTCAATGAAGCTAAATTGCAAATAAACGCGAGTGATGACCAAAGTGTTGAATGATCATTATATCATGCAATATTTTCCCATATATTTATACTACGACGATAATTAATTGTTTTCTAATCACGCAAGCGATTATTCGTATTGAGATCGCGTGCAACTTTAACGTGAAATCGCGTGCAGCTTCAACGTGAACCGATAAGATATCAACAGTTCGGTGAGTAAATTTATTTCTACTATATATTACGTAAAGCTAATTTAGTCTGTAAAAACTAAAAAAGAGAAGTTGAGCGTTAGTTGCATTAATGTTAATTAGTGCAATTAAAGTTACAGGTAAAATGTTTTGTTTAAAACATAAAATCGGAGATAGATAAAAACGCAATACTTTTGAGATTCCTTCTTTTGGATATTATTTTATTTTTTAATTGAGAAAATTTTCTTATTTTGGACATATATTTTCGGCACACCCTGTATATACGTTCGTATCCCACACAGCACATGGATGTCCTGCGGATGTCCATAGGACGTCTCGTTTGGGCGCGACGTCCAAATGACGTACCTAAGATGTCTCGATGACGTCTGGCGGACGTCTTTTGGACGTACAAAGTACCACCTCTAGACGTCTCGATAGGACGTAAAATGGATTTTTTATGAACGTTGTTTAAACATATTTCAATGAGATATGATAATGGAATAAATATCGAATCAACATGGAATTGGCGTCGATTCCATTATCATTCTCTGCAGAGTATTGCATACCTACTGTGCGATTACGAACTTATTTAGTAAAAAATGATATTTGTTAATAAAAATAGTGTTAATATTCTCAAGTAATGCTTTGTAATATAAGAATAGCATTGTAACAGGATTAAACAAATTAATTTACGCGCGCGCGCAATTTTTACGTAGAATATCAGTTTTTCTAAACAAACTTCGAATATGGTCAAAAAATTACACAGATATTTTTTTTACAAGCAGTAGCTTTTATTATTATAATTGTTTAAATTAGGAAATTGTATTTTAAGAAAATGTAATTATATTAATTGATTATTATTTAGTATTAATATAATGACCATGATTATGTAATTATTATAAAAATAAATAATAATTACTTGAATTAATTTTATATACAGATTTTGTTTTATACTGTTATTATGTTAACATATTATACTACATTGACGATTCAATAGTGACAAAAATTGTAATAATAGTAACAATAATAATAATGATACAATATCAATGAGTATGATAACAATAATATTCAACACTTATATGGACATATGTAGCGGACATTCCCAGAACATACAGCAGATGTCCTCTAGACATTTAATCGATGTCCTTAGGACATCTTCAAAATATCTTATTTAATGTAAAGAACATCAGAGCTCGAATTTCAAGTTCATTTATCAGAAATATATTAAACATACGTAATATTGAATTTTGTGATCCAATCCCGAATATGTCTTATAGACATCCTACCGCAGCTACGCTAAAAGCAGAATGCCCTTCGGACATTCAAGACATCAGGACATAACCAGGACTTTTGAGGACATCCAAAAGCGGACGTCCAAAATACATCCATGTGTTGTGTGGAATACGATTTATTTTAGGAACCTGGTTTAGAGGGTGAAAATTTGCCATTTTTTTTCTTTAATCAATAATATCACTCTCAGAAAATATATAAAGTTTTAAATCGAAATTGAAAATGTTTTTGTAGTTACAACCTGAGAACAGGTACTTACGTGTCGCGCAGGTATATAGCGCGCGCGGAGAAAGCGTCCATTGTGCTCCGTTACTCGGTTTCTAGATCAGCATTATTGACCTTAGCAGATGTTTATTTTCAAAGAAAGCACACGCAAAACTCAAACGAGAATTTTAATTTCATCATTTGACGCCTCATTCCAAAACACTTATTTTGGCACAAAAATTATCGAAATCACCACCTTCGTTGTCGCATGTCATGTGCCTTCAATGAAAGCTTTCTGGCATTTTTTTAAAATAATGCAATTACTGAAAATAAATATTTGCCAACATTGTAAAATATTTACCGGCAATTACGACGAGCAGCGAGTTACGAGGCAGGAACGGCACTGATTAAGCAGCACGAAAGAGGCTTGTACAACTCGTATATTGCAACTAACGCGACAAAACGAGTTTTACGAGGAAGCGGAAGGTTTGCTGTAGGCAAAGGAATAGCAGATTAACGGTAAGTTTCCAAAAAGTACTACTTTTCGATATCGAAAACTTTAAACGTGTTTTTCTCAAAACTACTTTTCCGAAACTAGTGTGCAAAATTACTCAAAAACTATTCGACCAATCAACTTCTTGTAAAGCTTTTTGATTATATAATTGTCAATCATCTTGGATAAACTAAAAACGTTTATTAAAAAATTAACATCTTTAATTTTATATTGTGACTAATTATTTTATCATGCACTAACACACTGACGCTTAATAATTCAGAAATTGACGAACATCTTATCGACATGTGAAATTTTATTTTATGGCCAGCTAGGAAAGTTGTTTTGACCAGAGTGACGATTTTACTTAATTTTTTTATTATTCTCGTAATTTATTTCTAACTTGATTGTTACCAGAACACCGGAAAATTTCAAACAATCGGTCATTCAGTCGTTTGCGAGTGATTTCCGTTTCTCAACAAAGTATCTCACTGGCCATCATTACTTTATGTATAATTTTTTTCTATGTTTTCGACTGCTTTCATCTAATGTAACATCTCTTGTATGTATATCTGAAGAAGGCTCAATCGTGAGACCGAAACATGTCATATTATCAATTATAGAATATTATATTATTCATATTTTCTTTTGATTTTTCATGTTTTAATATACCTACTTTATTATATTTGACTCTTATGTGTCCTTTATTCTCTCGTTATTGTTTTTAAATTAAGAGTCCTTCGTTCTTGTAATAACTTGTTTAATCTAAACAATTATTTCTGCATAAATAAATCGAAATTTTTTGTTCAAAATCGTTACTTTTTTTTCAAAGTTCCATAATTCTTACAATTTGATACTTTTCTCCTATTTTTTTTAGTTCATCAAGGATAAAATATTATCTAATTAAAAAAAATTTTTAGTTTTTTGTTTCAGGCAAGAATTACAGGTTTCAAATTGCACGCCAATTTACAAACTTCGGCATTGAAGCACAATATCGATTAATAAATAACTTTTTATTGCAGTCATTATTTATTTATTTAAAAAATTATTTTGTATTCTCCAAATATACAATAAATCACCCTTAAAGCTTTGGAAATATCCAGCTTCGTGATTTGTTCATAAAAAAATCGCAAAGAAACAGCTACTTTTTAGCGTCCTAAACCAGGTTTCCTCCTTTAGTGGCTGAATGTAAAACATTGATCTTCCATTTGTCGGAGCTAATATGTTCTACGAAAGTACCATTCATATTTTTTTATTAATAAACAATTAATAAACAGTACACGTATGCATTGTATGAATTAGCTCGACAATTTTTAAATAGTTTACGTAATACAGAGGATATAAGCGAATAAAATTATCCATCCATATATTGAAAGTATTGCGCAGTTTCTATTCTTCTGTTACGAAAACTGTATATACGATTGTGACACACATCTTACAAAATTTTAACTACTGGCGCATCGAAACAGCGAAAAATATAAAATACGAACTATTAACTTCATTGACCCGCAAATTCTCTCATGAGAATAGGGTACATTCGTATAAACAGGGTACAAATTGCGATAATCACTGTAATTAGGATGTATAGACTAAGCGCAATGTCCTGCAAAATACGATTGAAAAAATGCGTTCTCGTGTTTCTCCTGCTGCTGCATTGTGACGTCTTACGTTACATTCAAATTTTTGCAGATCTGAGGATGTAATTGAAGATTAACGGATTCATTAGTTTTGCATTTTTTCCAATTTAGAACTTAAAATAATCAAGAATTTATAAATCCAAAAATTCTGTAAGATTATTTAAATGCCATAGATGCAATTGTCTGTAAATCCGAGACTTGATAAAGCTATGTGTCCGTAACTCTTGAGACTCGTACGTCTAAGAATGACTGACTAGATCAAAAACACAAAAAAATAAAACGAATTTGCAATTGTAATCATTATTCGACGCACTGAATGCGCATAATCTCGCGGAAACATTTGCAAACTTACGATTGCAAATAATTTATTTTTTTACAGGGCACTCTATATCCAAACACTAACAGCTACTTAATAGTAAATATATTTGTCATTCGTTATTAACACTTTGTGCTCGAGTTGTAAAGTCAGAGTTTATTTAAAACTCATTAATTTGTGAAGTATTAATCGTTTTACTTCCGACTTAATATAAGGCATATAAAACATCCTCAAAATTTAATTTACGAAAAAATTACGGTCTTTATTTTTAAATTAAAAATATATAAAATAACAGAGAGTATTTTTATTTTTACATTGTTTTATAATATTTTATACAGTAATATTCGAGCAAAATTAAAACTTTTCGTCGGTTATATTTTCAGATGATACTCGAGAGCAAAATGTTAATGTTAAAAAAATTGTACCGGCTATATATGATGTATCGGCAGTTCATAGCGGTAAACGTGTCTGTAACGTTGACAAACAGAAATTATTATACGTTAAAAATACAGTCAATACAAGTTAATTATATTCATAAACAATAAAATGATAATTTGCAAATATTTCTTCAAGTCTTAAGATCCGAGACTTTCGCGTTTTAGAGATCGCATTGTTTGTCATTTAGAAATCCAAAGATTCAAGAAAATCTTTCGAATTTTCTTTAATTTAAGCAATCCAATCATTTATTATTAAAAATTCGATACTGGAAGTGTTTTGATACTAAAACATTCATAAATGAGGTCTAAAAATTCTTGAATTCGATAATTGATCACAACAGCGTCATTCATGACTAGTGTCTCGATAAAATCTAAAAATTCATGCGATATAAAAGAAAAAAACGAAGGATCGATCGATCTCCGTGAGATCAGTAACAGATCCGTGATAATTAAGTACAGATATAAATCACTAATGACATTTACAAAAAATACAAGCGGATCATTGACTTACAATCCGCGGCACTTGTTATCACACAGCTCGCATTATCACTGTACAAAATATTGATTCTACTTCTAGTTCGCGCAAAGTCTTGAGCAATTTTCGTCGAGAGAATACGAAGGTCGGAACCGTCTCTCCGTCGCGAAATAGACTGCTCTCGCTTGGGAGATGACTTAAACGTTCAAGTCCTCCCAATCCTCGATTTGCCGAGGAGTAAGCTCGATTGTAATCCTGGTCAGAGTGCGTAGAAGATCATGCAATCTCGGCGGAAGGGGATTCGCTTGCAGGTCGATGAATTCTAGAACAGGTGCGTGCCTAAGCCTCTCGACGTCAACATCTACAGAATAAAATCAACAATGTTATTGTTAAGTCATTTTAAGAAAATTTATTGGTTCAGGTAATTCGAAAATTGTCTTTTTACTTTGATCGTGATGGAAATGCAGTAATTAGTATAAAATCTTTTTTTTCGATTTGCAGTGTCAGGAATCAAAATAATTCGATTTCAGTCCTTGTAGTATATTTGATATTGATATTTCTTATGCATATCTAAACTATTCTAAGTTTTAATAACTACATTATTTTTGGACACTTTCCTAAAAATGAAAATATCTACTCCTCATTTAGAGAGGAGTAAATGTATTATACTCGTTAATTGTTTGAGGTACTGATAATATCTATATGATAAAAATCTTACATAATAATAAATTAATCGGTACTAACCGATGATAAAATTGTTGTTAGCGAGAAGTCGTTTTAAGTGCGGTATCCGCCAAGCCACAGATGGTAGAGCGATGAAAGTGTTGTGCGAGATATCGAGTCTCTCCAGAGCTTGCAGTTCGGCCAACTCCTCAGGCAGTTTGCTCATCTGATTGTGGCTTAAATTCAATTCTGCAAACGTGTTTTGTTGAATAATATGGGATTTTAAGCAAGAATTTTCTCGAAGATAAATTTTATATAAATAGAGAAAAAGACAGCAATCTGAAGCTATTCTATATAGTTTATCGCTCACCAGTGATTAATGAAAATTTCACGGCAAACTTGGCTGGAATTTTTGTAATCACATTGCCGGAGAGGTCACATCTCTTCAACTCCGTGTGCCGCATCAGATGGTAGACTGCGTCTGGGATTTGCATGAGCTGGCACTCCGACAAGTCTAAAAAGTAAAACGAAAGAATGTACAGTTTCCTAAAAAAAAATAACATAATACTGTCTTTAAACTATTATTCTCCAAGATTCCGTTAAATTTCTGCCGCTTACGTAAATTAAAATAAACTTTTGAAATAACTAATTTAGAATTTTTTAGAATCAAATTCTGAAACAAATGTTTTAAAATAAAAACTATTTTTTTATTTTTTTCGCCTTTGAAAGGTGGACCGATTGCACATCCTTCATAAATACTGAAAGTGAAGGCCATTGTTCACTGCGATCTTTCAAAATATATCCTATTATTCATCATTATATAAACGTCCCTCTTTCTTAATGCTCATTTATTCGATTTTACTTTTGAAATATATCCTATTATTATCATTATTTAATGTCCCTCTCTTTTAATGCTCAATAATAATCTTTAAAAATTTCAACATTCTAGTGAAAAAATATTAGCTGAAATAATTAACTCTTTTTCCAAAATAAAATAAAATTTTTAATATATCAAAAGAAAACTAGAACCAAAATAAATTTTTATTCTTCCAATGTCTTCTCACAGTTCAGTTTGGCGCACGAAAAAAAAAAATAGAATTCCTTTTATACAATTAAAGTTAAACAGAGAATATGAACAGAGAATATTGAGAGCGAGAGATTTGCTCGCTGTCAAATTTTGATAGCATCAGTTAAGTTGTAATAATAAATTGTAAAAGTGTTCCGTCACTTGAAAAAAAATGGGAAAACGCCAATCTAAGCGCATCATAACTGCTGAAAGTGCACTTAACGTCAGTGCACCGCGTTTCACGCTTTCTCTGGCGCGGTTTCCAGCACGGAAGACCGTTCGTCGTTGAAGCTAACTCGAACGCGGGAGCTAAGAACGCGTTATGGAACAAATGCATTCCGCATTATATATTTATCAATCATCGCGATCATTATAACATCGGAGCGCGCAGTTCCGGGAAGATAAACCGCGGAATTGTCCGATTTAGCAATCCATCGAGGAACAATTTAAACGTATACTTGTTAACGCTTCGTAAAGTCAAACAAAGAATTTCAATCAAATTCCAATAATTGAGAATGGCTTTCTTTATTCTCTACATGTATAATAAAGAATATTTTCTTTTTCTTCGTCTCTTATATCGAAGTTATCACAGAGTTCGATTAAGAGAAATAAAATTTTTTAAGTCTGCTTTTCATTCCCTTACTAAACTGCACTAGAACTTGCTTTCTTGCTTTCGTTAATCTTTCGCAAATAATAAACACATACCTATTTTACTTTATGTTTCAAAAGTGTCACAAATACTCTAACCCTTACACAAGTAGAGTAATTTCTCTATATACGCCTCATCTAACAAAAACTTAATTTATTAAGCATTATTTACTATTTTTAAGGTAAACGAACTCTCTATATCAGTAAAAACTTTGTACTGTCTACTACTATAAAAAAAAATATTAGAAATCTGAAATACTTATTTTTCGTATTAAAAAAAAGAACTTTTTGGAACCCTTGCATTTATATAAGGGTGGAAAATGCATGCATTTGATGTACTGAATCCAATCTGCGCACTTTGTATGCTTTGGGCATAAATCCCGCCCGCTAAAAATGTCATATAGCCTAAACAGGTAGGGTATACAAGACAACAAACTAAACAAAGAATACAAGAGCAAAGCACTTGTATTTTGCTATACAAACATATACTTCACTATTCCTCTACACTTATATATCACGAAATAACCACTAAGTTTTTTACGCGTCCTACAATAATCATTTTATGTGGATTATAATTTATGATGGCACTACTTATTACAAAGACAAATCAATTCAATTCACAATAATTTCACTAATATTAACAGTAAAAAATTGAAATTATAACACAATACTAATATAACGTAAAACTAATATAACATAAAGGCATGTAACAGAATAGTTGCGGAAAAATTACCCTCGACACTCCTATTTTTTCTGATTTCTGCGGCGTAAATCCCAGCGCGGCGTATTTGCCAGAGTTACCCTATAGGTATTAGTTCAGCTATTATAGAAAAACAGATGTAATGTCATAATAAAAAGTAAAAATTGTTTTGCAAATCTGAGTGCGTTCTGTTGAATATCGCAATCTCCAAAATCTGACGTAAAGAAAAAACTGTACAATGAAATTTCGTCGAATTGTACCAGTCCAGTCGCATTTTTTTTTTTTTAATTATTGCTATGATGTCCCAGTCGTGCACCAATGCGAAACACATTACGAAAACACGTGGAAATCTCACTCCGAGAATTCGTTAATAATAATTAGTAACCTTTCTGTTGAATTTTAAGCGCGAGTAAAAGCCATTGTACGTACAAAAATTTTAGTCATAATTATAAGGCCGTAAGCAAATCGACCAATCATATATGAGCGTTTTAAAACGTGAGATCGCAATTTTGATTGCGATTGGTCGATTTGTTTGAGACTTTACGATTGTGGCTAAAATTTTTGTACATGTAATGGCCTTAAATCGAATCAAGAACAATCGCTTTCACCGAAAATTCTGCAATTTACCGAGGTTCTCGTTCTCCTGCGCCTCCTCGCAGCGAAGAATCACTCTTGTTACAGCGTTTGCCATTTTGGCCGTCGTACTGACTCACCGGCACGGCTCTGACTGCGTTTGAAACATTTATTTCTGTGTGTTGCCTGCCGAAATAAGTTCCACCACCTGGCCGACCGTCATATTCATCACGACTCATTCTTGGAAATCTGGTTATTGAGGAGAAGATCGGGAAGGTGCTACACTTTCCGTGACAGCCAAACGTACGCGCTATATGATTGCGCTAATTGTACATTTTGCACCGATATTATAAGTCGAAGATTTAGAACTCATCTCTTGATAAATAAACGTTCGACGAACTTGGTCAACTAAATATTTTTTTCGACGTATGGCAAGGAGACAGGCGCGAAAATAGTTCTCAGATCGCTATTTATTTGTCATAACATTTCCGAGCAGGCTGATTGCTTTTAATCACTTGACCTTGATGCATTTAATTTGGATAAAATCCGATAAAATATATTTTTATGAATCATAATGTTTTTATCGAATATCTTAAACTTGTACAATCATTTTTTCAGTCTTATCAAAAATTTTGTGAATTCAAATTTTGAATATTCATTGTTGATAAGAATCAAGAAATAATCATATAAGTTCAAGATCTTTGATAAAAACATCATGACTCATAAAAATACAGTGTATCAAAATTAAGTATAAGGCCAAGTAATTCAGAGCAATTAGTCCCAAAAATGCACTATGCAAACAAATAAATTGACTGATAATAGATAATTAGATTGATTGAAATATAGGGTAAAGATAGAAAAAGAACCTGATTTAACACTTTTTTGTGAAAATTATTATATTATGAAAATTTTTCCATTAATTCTTTAAACTTATTTTTATATGAATTCAAAATAATCTTTTTCGCAAGCAAATATTTGGATTATTTATATTGTGTTGTTGTGGGACGCCTTATATAATTCGGGCAAAAGATAAACGAGGATAAAGTGCTCGAACAGAGGATTGTGTAATTAGTATGAGAGTCATTGTGTAATTAGTATGAAAGTTACTTCTCGCTGTTGCTCCCGCGGTTATAGTTAATGCACGTGCGATCGTTTTTCTTTATCAAACAGTAGTATACAGAAAAGAGCCAATAGCAAGCTACCATTTAAGGTCGTGAGGCCCTATACGGAAACTTCTCGCGTCTCGCGATTCGTTTGTACGTTTTATTTTGAAAAGTTCCTACATTTCTGGATTCGCACAAGATCGTTCTTTCACGCGATGCACGAAAGCATTAGCTCCAACATCTGTTAAAGCGAAACAGCGTTTACGTACAACCGTAATAAAGAAAGGGATATTTTATAAAAAAGTTTATTTTATAACCAACTCATTTTTTATCTTATTGGATGCAATATTGGAGATTTAATAGCTAATTTTTATTCTAATTTAATATCAATAAATATCGATTTATATATTATATTATATCTTTGTCAAGGTATGCAAATTTGTAAAATCACTCTATGAAATCAGAAATCTATAACTCAGACTTGGTCTGGAATTAAGAATCATTGAAAGATCTATGGTATCAGAGATTTACTGCTAATGTTACGCAGTTACTTTTTGTCACTTTATTTGTATTATAATGCATCTCGTATTTGATATGTCAAATCACATAGTAAAAAAATTCATAAAAAGAAGGAAACGTAGCCTTCTGGCAATATTCGGTGCGCGTAGACCAACATTGCCAAGGCTCCGCTTTACTATTCCGAGATCGACCTTTCGCGTATGCATTGGGTGTCCCGAAGATACGCATGATCAGCCCGGATACCAGACGAAGATACGACCAGAGGATCACAGCTGTTCCGCGAGGTTCACGATGTGAAAAGGAAAGAAACAAAGGCCGGATACGCGCGTTGTATAACGCAATGTTTATCCAGTCAATTATCTATGCTGGAGTTGCGAAGCAAACATTTCACTTTTATCCGAGTTGATGCTCGAGAAACGCCACCCATTTATTTATCCATTCCTGCGTAATTCCTCCACAAGCGAAATTTCATACATAGTCTTCAATTTTATTAACTGTTATAGTAACACAACTTTGTAAATATCATAAATATTCTACTGATTTTTAATCTGTAAGAAATTTAAATATCTTAAAAATCTTTAAAACACATAAATTATCTTTGCTTAACTGTGATTTATTGTTGTGGTTATATCATTATAGTCTGTTTCGCAAGTGGTACATTTATTGAAAAATTAAATGCGAAAAAAAGAAAGATTTTTTTAGTCATTCATATATTTTTTTTTATACTGCTCATTATGGTATATAATTGTATCTTTTTATCTCTAATAAAATTAATATGAAATTACAAAGTAGAACGGAAATGTTCTTCACGTACTATATGATTGCTTTTACGCGATGAGTACGTCATTGGCATGATCCGTACTTTCTACGGAACTATGTTATAAATTTTTTGCTGAGCTGCAACAGGAAATCATCAATACATTGAGTCTCGACGCTCGGCGTTCGTAGACCAATTTTTATTAGCTGTTCCTTGCTTCCTCTTTCTATTTTTTCAATGACTGTAGTGTTACGCGTGTAAGAAAAACGTATCACAAATCTTGATGAAAGTATAAGGAGAGTTCGTTAGCCATACAAAGCAAACTGAGTCACAGATAATGCATTAGATAAGATAGATATTATTAACGTGACAATACGCAGAAATGCGTTGTTGCGATCTACCGCTTACCACTTGCAATATTTTTATCGTAATCCGATAATTGATTTACACTGTGAATCTTATATTTATATCGTAGAAACTGCGTTTTATTGATCGTCAGTTTTAAATTTACAGAACTTTCACAAGTACTCCAATCGGATTTCTGATGTTTCAGATTTTTAACATTATAATTTAATAAATATGGAAACGATGTTAATGATTACGGAAACAAATCTTTATTTCCGTAATCATTAATATCGTGAATCTTTGTATTACGAACCATTAGTACCAGATCCTCTTATACTATCCAGACTTTTAATATTAATCAAAACATATAAAGTTATTGATAAAATAGACACTATATTATCGCTGATTTTAAATATTATACTTATTTAAATTTAAAAGAAAAGATGTTTCATATTACATTTTTTTATTGTAGATATTTGTCACTATAAATATTTCATTTAATAAATTTTTATGACTGCAATATAAGTACTATATTTCCGATTTTGTAGAATCGTGATTCTACAAATTTTGAAAATTGAACTTATAAACTTTAATACTAAACGACACGAACATTTATTCGTATATTTTGATTTCGTGAATATTTTCTCGGCACTACATTTTTTGTCTATATAATAAGCTTCGATTTTCAAGATTTTAAATTTTAGAAATTCTGGAATTTATTATTTTCTATATTTATTAAATTATAATTTGCGTTTAATTATAGTCTGCGCAATCGTAATCTACAGAGTACGTTTTATAAAATAGGTGGTGAGTCACAAGCACCGGCATATTATAATATAAACAATAAGAGCATTGCTGATCAAGGTCACAGTGTGCGCAGACGGCATGTTACAGATAAGGTAAGGGTGGAAATTATCTCAAATCAGGAAGTAGAACCGTGACACTGAGATACATATATGTACATGGTGTTACAGATACATACTAGGCAGTACGACGGGTTACGCGACAAACTTTGCATGATCAAGAGTGGTTTAATAGACAATGACATTGACTTTATACATTATAAAGTTACTACAAAGTTTTATTTTTTATATTACAAAGTTTATGTTATAAAGTCACTGTCATTGTCTATAAAAGCGCGTCTGCCCATGCAAAGTTTGCCACACAACCCGTCGTACTGTCTAGTATGTATCTGCAACACCCTGTATATAGTATTTACAAGTTTGACTTTTTCGTGAGATAACCATTTCTCTTGTGATTAATTTTGAGTACGGTCAATATGATGCTACAAATTTTGAGCCATTCTTTAATTGGTCAATTAATAAACATTTTTTTTCTGATTGATCAATTAAATACTCCAAAGCACTTGTAGTTGAAACTTCGACCGCACCCTTTAACGACCCTTAGAAAAATTTAATACTATTAAATTTAATATTAAATTGCTTATCCAAAACAAAACACGTATGTTTAAAAACGAGACAGAAGACGTCTTAAAAATGTCTTTAAAACATTTTAAAGACATTTTTTAAAAGACATCTTTTAAAAGACCGTTTTATGTCATGATTTTGAATTTTTTGTTGTCTAGTTATTATAATTATTTATTATGAGTCTTAAAAGTACTGTTATTGTTTTTAATACTTAAAATAAATAATTAATTTCTAATCAATTTAATACTTGCTGTATTAACTTTCTCTAAGGATAGATGTTGATATAAAAAAAAAATCACGCGACGCTGTTAAATTTATAACGTTGAAAATCTATTGTATCAAATTCGTATTTAATTTATACACAGGTCAAATATATGTTCACTACATTTCAGTATCAAAATTTATTAAACATTATAGTATCAAAAAATTTAAAAAATGTTTTAAAAATCCGAACTATCTTTTGATCATCTAAGAGAAAGTTTCACTATTTATGATTAACTTAATTGACTGATTATTCCATTGGAACTAATTAATCAATCGCACTTATCATTAATCAGAATGAATCAGAATCGACTAATCACAGTTAATACTTAATTAATCAATTAAACTAATAAAAATGATAAAACTGGTCTTCAGGAACGTTGCAAAGATCTATAATTCTTCCAGATATTCAAGGAAAATATTTAAGATTTAGAACGCTTTTTAAAATAACTTTATGGTGTTCTTTACTTTATTTTACCTAAGTTGCAGTTATCCTGGGCTTCCTCACATCGTGAAACCACCCGGATGATCGCCCGACCAGCCAGTTGAACGCAGACTGCCATCGCAACATTTCTCTCGCCTTGTTCTTGCGAGATTTGCTGCACCTCTCCTTCGTTATACGGCGGTCTCATGTTTCTTCACACTTCGTACGATTACAATTGACGGCGACAAGCGCGCAAATATGAATTTCTCTTTCGAATTTGTCTTATCGAAAATCAGCACCGATCTTCGTACACTCGCCGAGGAATAATTTCTTTTACTGGATTTCTATTGTAATCGAACTTATAAAATGTTGTAAAAGAACATTTTATAAGCTTCAACGGTAGTTAGTCTTTATGTAAATTTTACACCTGTTGATAGCTAGTCGCTGCGAATCACTAGCAAAGATCTAAATCGTATCCGGCAGATCCAAAGATAGAAAGAACTTAGCTGAATAGAGAATTTATATAGTATATATTTCAACTCAGTTGAGATTAATGGTGATAATTTCTTTCACATAGAAAATTTTGTCAGGATGAAAATCCGCGCAAATTGGATCCTAATAAAATTGGTTTGCGAAGGATGTTCTTCTTTGTAAAAACTTCTTTTTTGCAATTTAGAATTCAAATTTAATTCGAATAAGACTAGAGCATTTCTCAGAAGATTATCCGGATTGGAAAAAAACGCAGATTTTCAATTTCTTCACCGAAACACTCGTCTTTTAAGATCTCACACGATTTCAGCATGAAGTCTAAGACATAGAGTCCACTTCAAGCACGATTCTGGAGTGGATCTTCCGTTCTCGTGAGCGAACTTCAGCGGAATCTTGATCCAGCTGACTTCCTACGCGATTTGCATGGACTTTGCAGGTCTTAGTCCATTTGACGTTCCTGAAGATCACGACCGAAGTCCGTTTCAGGTGACTCCGTCAACACTGCCTGCACGAGTGTACGCGGTGCTATTTAAGCCTTCGCTATTCTCCCCGCCACCGGGGAAGCGTCACGAAACAGCTGACTACTTTGTATGTGTGTGTACATCCACTCTCCCTCTCTTTGTTTGAAAACAAACGCAGTCAGATGCACTGCGCGACATGCAAGCTGTCAAATTCGATGTCGGAATTTCCGTGTTAGAATCACGTTTATTCAAGGTTTTCCTGCTGTTTCAGGGTTTCTTCGAAATCTCTGAAGGTCTCTTTTTTTGACATTCGAAAAAAAAAATTATCAATTAACAAAACTATCATTTTAAAATTGTGCAACTTGTTAAATTAAATGTTCTCCACATTAAAATTGTACTGATCGAGATCAATTTTTGCTTCTTTTCTATCATTTTAAAATAATTTTTGAATTTTTTCGAGATCTGTTTAGACCTTACTATTAAAACTTTTGCATTAAAATCATGTTTTGCGCTTTCTTTAAAAACAAAAAGTAGTTTCTTCAAGAAGAAACTTCGACAATAAAATTGTAAACAAATTGTCAAGTTCAAAAAACTAATTTCAATATATAAACTGCTCAAAATCTTCTCGAAAAATTTTCTTTTAAAAAAATCTTTAATTTTAAAAATGTACAAACTAAATAATTATAATTTTGGTTTTATGTTAATTACTGAGATTATATTATAATATAGAATTCAAAATTTTTTGAAAAATTTATGCCCTCTCTCTCTCTCTCTTAAAGATTGAAATTTAACAAGTCAACGGATTCAGTTTTAGTTTTGTTACACAGAATATGATTCATATGTTTCACGATATCACAATCACAAACTGACGAAGTAGGTATTGCTGAAGAAGAAATGAAGATTACACATCGAGACGAAAAAGCTTCAATGTCAATGTTGACGCGCATCGAGCTTTTTGACTGCGCAGTTTTGCGAACAAAGAAATTTCCAAACAAGATTAGCCTCTTTTTGTTGTAAACCACTTTATTACTTCTTCTGAAAAAAATTTATTCTTCATATCACAAAAAATATTTTTAAAGTACTTCTGTTCATTACAAAAAAATATTATGCTTAATTATTGTTTAAATATATTAAATATAAAAAAAAGATATATATATAATGCATATATATATATATAATTTTAAAAAAATATAAATTGAAGACGTCAAAAGAATATGTTAACACAGACGTAATAAGAACAGACTGTATTATTTCTCTCTCTCTCTCTCTCTCTCTCTCTGAGAATTGAAAAAAGAGGTTCAATTCTTTCTAATGGAGTATTAGATATATAATGGAGAAGTTAAAATCAGAGAATGCGCAGTCCATAACGTCTTCGGATGCTCTGAATTTATGTTAAGCATTAAATACTTGAAGAAATACAAAGACACTTTCGTGCACACGGCTATCTGCATATATGTATACACAAAATTATTCATTCAACTAATGTGCGAAATGAAGGTCAATAATATTGTGTAAACTATATGTTGCATCGGGGCAAATTGCCCACTGCGCCATTTTAGATATTATCTATACTAAATCATAGCATACTTATTTTACCTAATTTATCCTAAAATTTATCCTGTAAACAATTTATTAAAGGTGCAAGATATAATACTTAAAATTGAAATATTTAATTGATATTATTATTTCGCAAAAGTGAACCTGGTTTGCAAATGTAATTTAAAAGGTGCAATAAATGTTTATTGCTTTTGCCACGTGCTATCCAGTTTACTATGCGCAATTCAATATTTAGGAAATGGTAGCAGAGATGTACGTCACTATTTCGCTTTAATAGTAAATTATCGTGCGAATGTCTAGAGGAATTTGTGAAATTGCCAAAAATGCAATCGCGACACGAATATGCAGTCACGTTTAATTTTGGCCAAGATCACGAGAAAGCTAGAAATCAACTGCTGTTAAATATTTTTCATGAATTCATCAAAGAGCTATTTTTTTCTTATTTTTTTGAAAGATAGATTGATTTTATAAGTATATTTTTATTTTTTGTCAATCGTCAGCGATGTATTATTTAGCTTATTATAAAATAATAGAATAATAGAATAGTGTTATTTTATTTTCCTTTTGCGTCTCGCTAATCCTTATTATTTAAATGTTTTATTCGTAATTGAAGTCTCGTATATTTCTTAAAGAAGACGAAAAACAACGAAGGCGTGCTGGTAAAACGAATTTCACCACTGTCTGCAACCCAACTCGAGTGCTTCTTCTTCTTCCTCCGCATTAGAGGACTTTGCTCTCCATTCATTGTGAAGCTCAGTGCTCAACAGGGACAAAATGTTTATACGGTTCCGCGGTATGCTTGGCCAGCAGCCAGAGGATACTGCGTGTACATCTTGTCGACGGAAATAGACAGCCGCGGACCAAAATCCCCCATGACTTCTCTTTCGTCGTTTTCCTCTTCATACGACGTAGGATATGAAATGACGAGCTAGATCGTAGGAGGAGTCGAGGATCCAATCTGTGGCTCGATCAGTATATTATTCCTGAATTTTTTGATATAATTTTCAATCTTGTTTACATTTCTAGATCTTTCATTTTTTTTTTAAATATTTCGGATGTATAAATATTTGTAATTTAAAGATATTTATATAGAAATAATTTGTAATTTTTTTTTCTATCTACAAGAAATATAAATATTAATCTTGACATATCTCAAAATTTTTAGATTCCTGAGGCTTTAAATTTTTAGTTTTCTTGGGAGCTCAAGGAGAGCAAAAAAATCAAAATAATGCCAATTTGACATTATATTGGCCGATTATTGATCGAATTTATGTCATTTGTTTTGTCACAATTCGATTAATATGTTATTAATTTGACTTTCTTGTGTTGTTTGAGATATGAAACTTCTGAATATTTAAAAATTTCATATTCTTCAATTACACACATATTTCGATATTTTTAAATTAGACATTCTTCAATCATTTAGATATTTTAGATTGATGTTTAGGTTTTTTGATTGTATTATAGTGAAGTATTTTAGATTATAATTGACTTCTCAGCATTTATATCAGCATGATGATAGGTGTACGTACAGAAGAAAGTCTTTGCAAGTTCTACATGGGCTGGCTGGCTTCCGTTCCTGTCTTTTTCCTTCTTCAACGGAGAAGAAACGGGGAAAACGTCGGGGGAAAACACCTCGGCTCGCACCCTTGCCAACCAGCGTTCATTGGCCCTGCAGCATCGTCGCCGCTGACGTCCGTCTGTTCTTTATAACACGCAGTCGCATGTCCTCTCTACTGCGTCTTCGGTTTTTGGTATTTACTGGGAAATCGTCTACGACAGCGACCATGATTTCACAAACACGGCCGGATGTACAACAAGCGCATGCTTCCCTTGTTCTGCTACTCTCATCGTGCATCTTCATTTTCATTAAAATTACACTGTTAGGAATTTCTCAATGAATTTTAATTAACATGTAAAGGAAGCATATGGTTATGCACGAAATTAAATGTAATGAATGATGTAAATAAAAACTAAATTACAGTAGTCTTAAATGTGATGAACGTGTGTATTGAAATTAATGAACACATTATTATAGAAATTAATTTACACGTTAATGAAAAGTACGAGATCTGTAACTGAAAAGTAATTTACGTTAATGACATGTAAGAAACGTAAACGTATTAAACATTAAGCGTTAATAGTATTAGGCTTAATTAAAATATTATTAATATTCGTAAATGTAAAAGTATATTAAATTTCATCAAATACGTACATTAATAGTTATTTCAATTACGATTAATTAAATGTCATTTACATCCGTAAATGAAAAGTATATTAAATTTCATTACACTTAATTTTTCAGTTACTGTAAACTTAAATCTCATTAACATGTGCATTAATAGTCCTTTCAGTTACAGAGAAATTAAACTTCTTATATATATATATATATATTGCGGAATGAAAATTAATCCTCTTCTTAAAACTTAAGAAATGAGTACAAGGTATATAAACAAGTAGATATGACTAATACAAAACTAGTTATAATAACGAAAGACTTAATACATCTTCAGCGCGAGAGATTGCAACAGAAATGTCGTTCGCGTTCGTGACGTGCGTTCACGCGACCTCGATTTTCGCGAATGTCTATTTTTCATCGTGGAATTTCCCCGGCGCGAACAACACGATTCGACGACGCGTTCCATCCTGCCTTGGTGACTTTTACTGCGACTTCTGTGTATCTCTTCAACTGTGCCGGGCTCTTTTGTAGCACGTGCGCTTTTATACAAGGGTGAATCAAAAAATAAAGATACGAAAGCCTTTCTCGCGCAAACAAAGTGCTACAGTCTCCGACGAAAGTAACATGTTCATTAGATGCATGGAATTTGATACGATGAATTTCCGTCACTACTTCCTAGTACTTCGTTTTAGTACTCGTGCTTCTCAGATTGCAAAATTTTTATGAAGAATACTATTCAATTTATAAATAAATTTCAATTCGCAAAATATAGCTTGAAAAATAGGTAGAAAAGACGTACGATAAATTCTATTTTAAATAATAGCATTGGTATACGATTTGCAATTAATATATTCCCAAATGAGAATTCTAGTTAGAAATCGAATAGTTTATAAATCATGCAACTGCATACTCAAATATCAATAGATCGTAGATTAAAGGTACATATACTAGAGCGTATTATAAATAGAGAGATTTACAATAATTAACAATCCGTATTCGCCTTTATGTTCCACTTTATATATAACAATGAGCGATAATACATCGGTTTGCAATCGCGCATCACCTTAAATTACAGCCACACAAAAATGCTTATGGATGGATTTCGCTAATACGAAGCTGCTCGTATGCTATTAAATGCACTGTGAATAATTAAGTTAAATACAGTAAAAATTTTTGCAGTTTCTTAATTGGTTATCATATCAATATCAATTTAGGCCAAAGCGGTAAAATTCTTTGATTATAGATTCAACAGTCAAAGATCTGTATTTATTCAGCGCATTTAGCGTTACACA